TGTGAAACATTTAAAGGATCATGTTGAACTTTTGCAGGATCATGTGAAACCTTTAAAGGATCATGTGAAACCTTTGAAGGATCATGTGAAACCTTTAAAGGACCATGTGAAACCTTTGCAGGATCATGTGAAACCTTTAAAGGATCATGTGAAATCTTTGCAGGATCTTGAGAAACTTTTTCTGAATCCTGAGAAACCTTTGCAGGATCATGTGAAACCTTACAGGATCATGTGAAACATTTAAAGGATCATGTGAAACATTTAATGGATCATGTGAAACATTTAATGGATCATGTGAAACCTTCAAAGGATCATGTGAAACATTTAAAGGATCATGAGAAACTTTTGCTGAATCCTGAGAAACTTTTGCAGGATCATGTGAAACCTTTGCAGGATCATGTGAAACCTTTAAAGGACCATGTGAAACCTTTGCAGGATCATGTGAAACCTTTGCAGGATCACGTGAAACATTTAAAGGATCATGTGAAACCTTTAAAGGATCAAGTGAAACCTTTAAAGGATCATGTGAAACCTTTGCAGGATCATGTGAAACCTTTGCAGGATCTTTCAAAAGTACATAAGGATAATTTTTTTCTCCAAGTGTCTACTTACAGGCTCCGTACATTTACACATTTTAGTGTCAAGCTTTAACCCTGTTTTTGTTGAATTTACTGTAATTGTTTGACTCAGCTGTAAAGTGTTGCAGAAACTTATGACCATGGGGGCCAAATATTACCCTGATTTTTAACCAGTTCAGTCCTATTTGTTTAAATGCAGATTATTTAAAAGATCACACAGTAGATCTCAAACTGCCCTAACTCTGAGCTCATGCACATTTCTTCTGTCCTGTTTTTCTTCCTTGTCTGCCCTCATCACATCCACCTCCTCTGTGCAGTTCACCCACCCTGGAGCTACTAGAATGGGAAGTTGTTGAGTGCAGCTACATGTGACCTGATGTCCTTTAAAAAAAGAGCCAGTCTTGTTTAATTACCTCCCATCAATCACGCTGTCAGAGTAAGTTCCTGGTTTTAGACGTGTTTTACCTCAGAAGTGTCGCAGAATATCTCAGAAATCAAGAAAATCAAAATAAGCCTGGACTTGAAAGACTGCGTCACATTTGACTGCAGGAATCAGGAAAAAAATAACGACTCTAAAACCAGAACTATTTTCAGTTTTGACCTTATTCTATCTGCATTAGCTTTGTTCATGACTAAGTGTTGTTTTAACTGGGTCCACAGAAAGTTTGGAGTCCTTGTCAGATGTATCTTTATGAGTCCTCTGTTTGAGGGATGGTTGACCTGGACTGCTTTTTAAGAACCCAACAGTTTAGAGGGGAGGTTCTGACCTCTATGAGTCAAAATAAAATAGAAAATATAATAAAAAAAACTCAATAAAAACCACAATAAAGTTTCTCAATCTTATTGTTTTATTTCCAAATTAACAACTTTTACGTTTCTCACAGGATCAATCTGAACCCATGACCTCTGTCAGACAGAGATTCATGTTTCAGTGAAATATTTCTCACATGACATTTACGTGTTCTCCTGACATACATCACTTCAAACAATGAAAATAATGATGCTATAAAAAAAAACCGCAAGATGCTGGTCCAGTGATAGAAAAAATAAAAAAGGGCTTGTAAACAGATTTTTATGGTCCAACACTGACCTCCAGTGGCCAAACATTAAACTGCATCTGATGTGACGTACAGTAAATAAACAAAGATTTTTAGCTTATTGAAATATACTAGAGAATATCAATAAAAAAATAACATCTTATTTAAAAATATCTTTTAAGGTTCAAATAAAGGCATAAAATAAATATAAACCATTTCAAAAAGACAGATCTTGTTATCAAAAGCCCTGTTTTGTTATAATTGCAGTATTCTGGTCAAAGTAGGAGTATGCTGTTCTCAACACTTGATTTGAAGAAAACATCGCTTCAGATGAAGAGTACCGCTTCATCAGTCATCTTATCATTTGGTCCTGTTAAACAAGCAGAATATAAAGGTAAGAGAAGAATTATTAATGAAAAGCATCTTCTTGTAAGTCTGATTTAAAAGACACTCATTATAATGATGATATAATGTTTTAGACCAGGGCTTCTTAACCTTTTTCACCTCAGGGCTCAATTTGTTGAACATAAAGAGACACGAGGCCCAGTCAGACATTACTAATGTATGGATCAACCTGATAATTATTTTAAATCTTGGTTTGATTTTTATTGTATTTACATCATAACTAAACTATCATAACTAAATTAAATACACTTACAGTTTAAAAGTAAAACTCCTGTCAAATAATCACAAGACATGATTATGACAAACATTTTTATATTGTAACCTGCCCATAACAATTATTTGAACAAATACAACAGTCAGACCACTCAGGTTTATCAACACAAATATATATATATTT